TCGCGGAGGAGACCTTGATCTCCGTCCAGGAAAAGCTTGATCAGCTCAGCCAGTAGGTCGTCCGGGCCGACGGCCTTTCTGTTGGCCATTTCCCGTACCGCCTCCTCAACCTCAAGTAGAGATGGGATGTCGTCGAGTGGCACCCACGTGGGCCACCGCTTGACCTTGTCAGTCGCATGCATGTCGATGGTCGGCGACTTGGTGTTGAGAAGCTTGTGGAACCACCGTGCCCACCGTTGGCGAATAAACGTGGGGTCCCGAAGGACCTTGCCGTCCTCGTCCTTGATGTTCTGAGAGGTGAACGACCTCTTACCTTCGACGTCGATCATCTTCAGGTGCCTGTAGAAACCCGCCTGATCCCCCTCGCGGCTCTTCTTCTCGAGCTGCCGTACATAGCCCTCGAAGAACGTTTCCAGTGCACTCCACCTCGCGATGCTGCGCTTCTTCCGCGCCGCCTTGAGCACCGCCTTCAGGGTCGCCTCGCAGGCGCTGTTCTGTGAGGCCTCACGCAGTTGCGGCTGGGCCGCCTTAATCTCCTTAGACGCTTCGGAGATCTCGTGCTGCGCTTCGCTCGTGTACCAGCCTCTCTGCCCTCGTGCGCACCTCGCCAGCGGCGCGGTCTCAGCAGCGGCCGACATCACCGTAGCCGTCAGCTCGGCGGCGGTCTCTCCCGTTGGCCGCCTGAGCGCCGTGGGCGGAGGGCGGCTGGAGGCCCTGTTTTGGAAGGCGACCCGTAGGTGTTTGTCGTTTCCTCAATCGCTCGAGGTCGATACGGATGCGACTGCTTCCGCTGTTCCCCCGCACTCGTCGGTTGGGTGCGACACGGGGGGGTGAACAAATCTGCATGACCGTCATCACGTTGTGACCGATGGGGTTCCTACCGCTGTAGGCGAGCGTGCGTACGTTGAACTTGCCGAACGATAGGTCGCCCCCTCGTGCCTTCTTCGANACCGTCCTACCTTCCTCACCCACACTCTCCCACATGGCCTCCTTGATCGCCGTGCCCACACCGTGTACGCCCCTCTTGTCCTTGGTGCCAGCACGGGCGCCACTCCAGATGATCACGTACCCGTCGTGTGCAATTGAGCCTTGACCTTCGCGTCGGGTCTCCTGAAGTCCTATCACATCACAGCCGGTCGCGGAACAAATCTGCATGACCGTCATCACGTTGTGACCGATGGGGTTCCTACCGCTGTAGGCGAGCGTGCGTACGTTGAACGTGCCGAACGATAGGTCGCCCTCTCGTGCCTTCTTCTTCGCAGCTGCCTTGACGGCCGCTGCGGTCTCGTGTCTCTCTCGGTCCACCTCGCGTTGCGAGTGTGCTTTCTTCCGTATTTTCCGAACGGCGAATTTCCTCGCATAAATCCATCTCTGCAGAGCTCGGTTCTTGCCTGTGGTGTTTTGACGAGGAGGGTGCAGCACTCCCTCCCCGCGGTGCCCGCGGTTGTCTCCCTTCTCCCGCGAGCGGTGCTTACTGACGTGGTGTTTACGAATCTCTCTACTCCTCCAGCTTCGTGGGCCACGCTTTCCGCGACGGTGGTTGCCAGGTGCAGTTTGCCGCTTTGCATTACTGCCGCGGGAACAGTGTCCATACACACCTCTCGCCACTACCACCGTCTGTGCATCCTCACCGCCACGCTGAGGTAGCGCGGCGGTGAGTTGCACCTTGGGACACCACCCGCCTCCTATCTGTGGTGGCCTGGTTCGCCCGCGAGGGACTCACTAGGTCGATTTCAGCCCCGGCCGGGGAGCAGGCCGAGGGGGGGGAGGTATACCCTGTTGTGTCGTATTCCCAAAAAAAAAAACACTGCGCCATTTGGATTTTTTTTTTTTCATGAGTTACCCCTATTGTTGTAAATGTGGGAATACTTGTTTTGGGACAGAGTGACTAAAAGACATAAAATCCAAATGCCGCAGTGGCTTTTGTTTTTGTTGTACTCATGCAGATGCCGTCTCAAAATTTCAGGTTCTTCCGCCGAAATCTCTGCTTGGAAAAACCCCAAGAGTACTCGATCCCTACCCCCGCTACCTCTGGGTGACTTTTCGGAGACAACAAAAGTATGTGTCGCCTGCTCTCGAGTACTGCAGCGCCGTCCTCTCACTCTCAAAATCCGTCAGTGCCTGCAAGACTTTCTCGATGTTCTTCTCGTCAGCGATCCCCACTGACGCATTCATCCCCTCTTTCCACCATCCCCGTTCCTACAGGTAGACTAATGCTTCGAGCCCTTTGCCTTCCCTTCTTTCCCTTCCTCAATCTTATCCCTAGGCTTTGTTCCAGCCCCATCAGCCGCCCCTTCATCGCCTGCGCCAACCCCCGCTCCCGCTTTGCTCTTGCGCTTAGCCTTGCGCGCGACCTTCACATGTTTGCGCGGAGCATCCCACTCGTAAAAGGGAGGTGGTGAACTTGCCGCAAACGTGCTGATCTGTGTGTCGCCAACCTTGAGCTTCATGTCGTCGACCTCTGCCCCCTCGGTGAACTCCGTGCTCCACTTGCCGTTGGAGAGGTACATCTTCGCCTCTTCCGGTCCCAAACACCCCTCTGTCATGACTGTATCCCGCAACACCTTTTGCTTCCCCTCGTACTTGACATTCATGTTCGCCACATACGTGCAATCCATCCTCCCGCTGCCTTGCGTGCCCCGAAGAGTGGTCGATCTCAACCACCACTTGCATGTCGGGTTCGAAGACGTCCAAGACGTCCAAGACGTCCTCGATCTGTTCCTTGAACTCGTCATATCCCCAGTATGAAGGACCGCACACACACATGTTTACGCGCATAGTCTAGTCTAGATAGATACAAGCCCGATTAGCACCCCTACCAGCATTAGTTCGTGTGCTCTGCATGCTCTGCATGTCTATGTGTCGACCGCCTTGTACTAGAGTATTTATTTATTGAAGCTTGTTTTTTGTCTGCTCTATCTAGTCTACTGTATGTACTACTGTAGTAGCGTTCGTTGCAGCACGGACACCCCCTTGCGCGTAGTAACAGGCGTCCGTCGGGGGCACCCAACATTATTATTATTAGCCTACATGTGGAGAACACCTTCATAAAGGTTGAAACTCCCCAACGTCCGTCGAGGACGAAGCCGTCTTTTCCACAATGGCGTCGACGAAGAGATATCAGTAGTTTGCTTTCGATTGCCAAAGTCACGGGTTCAAAACCCGCTGCTCGCCTAATTTTCTTCCGGAGTACGGAATAAGAAAAACGGTGGGTGGGCCAAGAAGTGATGCACTGTCTATCGAACTCGACACTTGTTGAAGTAAGTCGTGGCGGAACCAGGCACGGAACCCTGGAACCCTCCAGCGTTGTATGCGGGTGTGGGAAGCGTTCCCCGGTCTTCTTTTATTTTATTTTGATCGGTCTCCTCGACGCTCTTTCTTTCTCGTTTGGTGCGGTAGCTGGTCTTTCTTTCTATCATTTTGTTTCTCTTCCGAGTGGTTTTTGTACCCTATTTTTTTTCTGTTTCTTCGTGGGGTCGTGTATGCCGGGTTTTGAGACCACGGGCTCCCAATCTTTCTTTTTTAGAGCTACTGTGAGAAACAACAACAACAACAACAACAACAACAACAACAACAACGCACAGATGATTGTTGGAAAAAAGGTGGTTCTACTCGCCGCCAGCCGGTCGGGTTCCGGTTACCCCAAGAAGACTTTTCTTGCCTAGCAAACAAGAAGAAGCCTCGAAAAAAGGGGGGGGTGATGTGGAGAACACCTTCACAAAGGATTGAACTCCCCAACGTCCGTCGAGGACGAACCCTCTTTTCCACATACAATTAATTGTATTTATTGCATTTACCGAGAGTTTTTTAGTTGTCTCCGTTGTCAGAAAGTGGGTCACGGGCCCTTTTTTTCGTCACGTCGGGCAGTACCCTCGATGGGATACATGCGTCGCTCCCTTGGGTTGTAGCTAGGAGTATTATATAGTCTTATGTATTTATATATTTACTTGGCTGCAAGCGTTCGACGCGGATGCGTGCGGTTAATAGACTATTTTCGTTTCGAGCGGAAACAAACAGCAACGCAACAGCAACCAACAACTTACGAGTCTAATTCCTTCCGTTCGCGACGTCATCAGCGTCCTTCTTCCTTCTCTCGGTGGGGTCATACACCATCAACATCAGCTCCTCCTCCAGTTTACATTCATTCGCCTCTCTCTACGAATAAGACTACACCACAGTACATACATACATAACCCATGTTTGTGTTCCGTCAAAAAGTCAAAGAATAATATACTAGACTAATGCTTTATATTGACGACGGGGGATGTTGATAAACAAAACAGACTGATGCGAAAACAGCGTGTGCGTGCGTGTGAGCGAGAGGCGAGGTACTATGTAGAGAAGCAGCAAGTGCAGGGCGAAGGGGAGCACAAGACGGTGAAAGAGACAGAAATGAACAAGGAAGCATGCTGTGCAGCGCAACGTCGAATGAAATTCGAAGTTGTTCAATTGTTTTTTTCTTTCCCTGCTGTGCGTAGAGCGTACCGTGGCAGAACTGGTACAGATAAATACCGCCTTATACGACACAACAAGAGGCACAACACGTTCAACCTTGGACGACACAAAAAATAATTCATTATCGGTTGCCGATTACTATGGATTGTTTCGGGTCAACATCACAGAGGGCCCAAAAACGTCCGCCTCTTCACTTGTAGTAGCTGTTGACCCACGGCCCACACGGTTCGGTTGCAATCTGCAATTTATGGAAAGCTGTGTGAGGATGAACTCCATGCTTCGACACCACTTTGTAGGGCTTTTTTAGCGCAACTAACTGTCTGTGTGAATGACGAAAGCGCCGCAACACAAAAACGTGAGTACTCCTAGTAGTTTTAGTTGTGACCACGTCGTCTTCCCTGAGGGAAATGACCGTCAGGTATCTCTACCCTTTGCACAATGACATCGCGGGCTGGCCGTCTCCCGGTCGCACACAACTTTGACGGCAGCCCGTCCCTCTTGGAAAAGGTGTGCGGGTTGAGCAGTTAAGTGTCAAAAACATACGTTAACCGTCCGATCTTGCCGAGCGATTGGAGAAAAAATGGCAGACACTCAAACAACACACCAGACCAAAAAGTATCGTCGCCATCGCCGACCGTGAACTACCCTGGAGCATGTACACACTTTCGTCCGCGTCTGTCTGTTGCCAAACGGAAGTCATTCCCCTACGCCACCGATGGTACCTCGCTCTTTTTCTGGCATTTAATCACATGTAACCCAATCATTATATTAGCACCCCGGCACTGCAGCCGAAAAAGCCTGCGCTGAAAAAGCGTGCAGCAAGTCTGAGCAGTGCATCTTGTTTGCGGCCTACGCCACTTATTTATCGGCCGAGACTGTTTTGGTGATGTATTAACTTCACGAGAAGTCGACGACCGTCCTTCACACGGACGAAAGAGGGAGTGCTCAACGAGCGGCTCCCACAGCAAGGAGGGGCCCCATGAATCATCGCGGTGCCCCCTACCAAACGGTAATCTTACCAGTCTGCGTGACACAAAATCATCCAGCACATGTATCCAACAACAATGTTCACAGACCCACGAACACCCTCCCTGGTTCTTCACGCAAGTGACTAACCATCAATTGGGCAAGAACGCCCCTGGATACATCAGAAAATACCAACATGGTAAAAATATATGGAGGGGAAACCCGGCGTCCGGGCAAAACCCCTCAAAAGAACACCCTACCACCACAAAAAAAACGTCGCTATCACAGCGGATCACAACGGCCGCACTTACTAGAAAGGCCAAGGCGAAGACAAGAACGCGAGGAACTACGT